GTGTCGGCGAACTGGGTGTCGGCGAATTGGGTGTCGGCGAACTGGGAGTACAGCAGAGCGACATCCACTTGCCCACCTTTTTTCTTTTCTTTTTTTTATATTTGTATTAATATATATTTATATAGCTTGATAAAGTAACATAATATAGCATGATGATATTTTATTGTATCATATTTTATGTTTGTATAAATAAATGTGTTTTTTTAAATTTTGTTATGCTAATTTATGTTTGTAGTTTTGCTCTATGTTGTAAGATAAATAATGTTACTAAAATGTTATTGTTTGTCAATTACGTTTAATATTATAAAATATATAATGTAAAATGTAAATATATTCAATAAAACAAGTAGGTTAAAGCTGTATTCAATTAAATAAATAAAATTATGATGCTCATGATTAAATTTTGTTCTATAAAATAACATATAATTCCTTTATTTACACGCAGAATGCAGGAAACAATAGAAAAATATAAACAGGAAAACAAAAAAATTAAAAATGAACAAATTAAATCAAAAGAAATAATTTCCATTCAAAAAGCTCAAAAACAAAATTTACAAGATTCTCTTAATAAAATAGATGGTACTTTTAACTCACAGATTCATACAATATTTTCAAAATTATTCACACCAACACAGATTGACGCTATTTTAAATAACAATAAAACTATTTACAAATGGACACCTGAAGATATTGCCTCTGCCATATCATCGAGAAGTGTTTCTCCAAAAGCGTATAGGTATCTACGTGAAAAAAAAAGTTTCCATTGCCAATTAATAATAATTCAATAAAAAAATAATAATAATAATAACAATTCAATTACAACTTGTAGGATTATCAACACTTCTAACATGGGCAGGTAATTTCTCAGTTGAGCCAGGAATTCTGAATACTGTATTTACTTTGATGAAAGCAAAAGGTAGAATCTTCATATAAAATAATTTATATTTTGTTGTTAATAAAATTGTAAATGTAAACAAAAATTTTTAAGGAGAAACTTTGACAGACCAAGAGAAATTGACTGTTATTTCATTTGATGAAACTTACGTGTCAAAAAGAATTTGCTATGACAAAAAAAATGAGCAAATGATTGGTCCTCATAAATGCGTTCAAACAGTTATGGCTTGAGGTTTTTTTTCTATATTAAAAAGTTTGGTATGCGAATATTTTCTCAGTAAACCTTTTCTTAACAGGGCTCATATCTCCATGGAAGCAATCAAAAATACACAACTTTGATACTCAAATGACTGAAGAATTATTAAAAAGGATTATAATAGAGTTGTATGATATAGGATATAACGTAGTAGCAGTTACTAGCGATATGGGTCCAACTATCCATATTGGGTTGTGGCGTGAATTACATATATCTATGGAACAAACATCGTTTCCACATCCAAAAACATCTAAAAATATATATGTTTTTGCTGATATTCCACACCTTATTAAGTTGACAAGGAATCATTTTGTAGATAAGTAGGTTCTATAATCTACAAACATTAATTACAAGTAATCAAATACTTAATTATTTTTTCATAGAGGATTTGTCTTACCAAATGAAAAATTTGTTGGCATTAATATTTTAAAAGAACTATTAAAATTAAATAGCAATAATGACTTTAAATTATGGTATAAAGTGACTGAACGTCATTTAATGGTTGAAGGTGCATCACGAATGAATGTTCGACTAGCCGTTCGAGTTTTTTCAAATGGTGTAGCAAAGGCAATAAGTTTCTGTGGAAACAATAATTTAATTACAGAGTATAATTAAAAAGAGGTACAAATACATTTATTTATTACATAGATACAATTAATATGTTAATTTAATACTTATTTCTAAATACTAAATAATCAAAACAAATTGTGAGGCACAAAATAAAAATGATTAAAAAGCTAACAGCAATATGTTACTCATAGCAATATTTTACTCATAATTTAGTAATCTTAGTAACTATTTTTTAGGCTTCAGAACTAATACAGTTATTTAATGACTGGTTTGACTTGCTCAATACTCATCAGAAAGTTGATAAAAATTCAGCAAGTTATGGACTATATTTACAGTCTCAGGATAAATTATTAGACAAGATGTTCAATTGCATCATGTTCTTCTGCTACTATGCCTGATTTATCTGACCAAATCCCAGTATCATCTTTATCAAATGCTTTCTCTTTGATCCAAGCTTCAAATACGACAGTCCGCAAACATAAACAAATATCTGTTTCAAATTATTTACCCAAAAAAATATCTGTAGATGCTAAAAAAAAACTAGATCAAATACTTTTAAAATTGTTTGTAAAAGATTTTCAACCTTTTAAAGTTGTTGAAGATTCGGGTTTTAAAGAATTTGTTAAAGCTTTGAATCCCAGTTATGAACTGCCAAACCGTAATACGATATCAAAAGTCCATATTCCGGCCATGTATGAGAAATGTTTAGGCGAAATGAAAGGGTTGGTGTCTACCATTGAAAGTGCTTGTTTGACCACTGACTGCTGGACATCTAGGAACAATGAAAGTTTTATGGCAAACACCATTCATTTTATTGACTCCGATTTTATATTAAAGTCAATACTTTTAGAGTGTCGTTCCTTTAATTTGAACCATACTGGAATTAACTTGAGTAATGAAATTAAACAAGTATCTTGACAGACATCTTGGAATTTAAATGACAAAATTACTGTCGCGGTCTCCGATAATGCTGCCAATATCAAAAAATGCCCTCAATTTATTATCTTTGAAAAATATAGGATGCTTTGCTCATACCTTAAACTTAATAGTACAGTCAGCACTTGAACTTGAAAATAACCTAATAGACAGAGTTAAAACAATAGTATCACATTTCAAGAAAAGCACTGTAACTAATAATATATTTAAGACTTACCAAATAAACAATGGTATAAAAGAGCGAAAGAAGCTTATCCAAGATGTGCAAACTCGGTGGAACTCCACCTACTATATGATCAATAGATTTGTTGAGATGGAAAAATCTATAAGAGGTACATTAGGTTTATTGGATAATGCTCCAGATACTTTGAGTTCTGAAGATTGGTTAATCTTACAAGATTTAATTAAAATATTAAAACCTTTTGATGAGGCTACCAAAGCAATAAGCAGACAAAAATACACGATAGCGTCACTTGTAATCGTTATAGTCCAGGGGTTGTACAAAGTGTGCAATAATTTATTGAAGATGAATTTGTCCCAAAGAGCATTGCTTATTGCTAATAAGTTATTAAGTAATATGAATGAAAGGGAGGGTTTTAAAAACTGTGAAAAAAGTATGACTCTTTCTAAATGTACATTCTTAGATCCCATATTTAAGCACCTACCTTTTACAAATATAAGCCCAGTAAAAAATGAAGTAGTTGAAAATGTAGCTAATATTATTCGAGATAAAGAACAACCTAGTGAATCAGATATAAACATACAGCGGACTCCAATACTAGAACCAGGAGAATTATCAATTTGGAGTGAAATTGATAGTAATGTGGCAAGATTTACACCATTGGGGTCTGCAAAGTCAAGAGCAATAGTTGAAGTTCAATGCTACTTGGACGATGCAGTCATAACCAGAAACCAAGATCCACTTAAATGGTGGAAAGGCCAAAGCTATAATTACCCTAACCTCAGTTTATTGGCCAAGAATAGTTTATGTCATTTAGGTACATCATTCCTTGTGAAAGGATTTTTTCAAGTGCAGGTTTAGTGCTGAATGATCACCGCTGTCGTTTAAAAAGTGAGAAAGTAAATATGTTATTATTTCTTCATTATAATTCAAAATTTGAACAATACTGTATATTTGTATTATAAATATTTTTTGTTAAGAGGACGTCGCACCGGCATTTTTCAGTATTAAAAACACGCTCGCGTAGATTCAAAATTACTTGTTCCTGAGTGGTTTTAGAGCTAAGACACTTATTATCAAAATTGAATAAAACAATATTTTGGAGGTCATCTCATCGAGGTTTTGTAAAATATTTAGTTTAAAAAAAGATACAGCCATTTAAAAAATCATAAATTAACGATTTTTTATAAATGCTATATTGAACAGTGTAATTAACATAATGAAAATACCCCATGAGATGCCCTCGTAAATATTGTAAGCTTTCATTTCGATAATAGGTGTTTCTACTCTAAAATCACTGTGGAGTGGTTGATTTACAATCTAAATGTGCCCTAAACTCTCCAAGTTTTATGCCGTAAACAGACAATTTACGGCCGACTAGTGCTGCTCTGTTTCTATTACGGCAGCATTCGATAACGTTCGTTACCCCCGACCCGCAAAATCTACCGCCACCAAATTAATAACATGTTCTTAGAAGTACTCACTGCCATCGACAAACTATAAATAATATTGCAATATTATCGATAAGGCGACATACCTAACAATAATAATGATTATTTTTAATATTTTACAACGAAACCATTGTAGAGCATTCATTCATAATAAAATAATATCATTGAGTATATTGACGTAGTATTGTATTTGTATATTATTGAATTATAAGTTATAAGCTTATAACAAATCATTTGCTCGTGGACATTGAAGGCACGTGAACTTGTATTCACGACTATTAATTTGTTAATTTGTACACGAAATATTTTATTTTACCGACTACCTATCTACTATTTTGTAATAGTGAAATATTAGCATGGGAAACAAAAAAAATAATGTTAAACGTGTTACCAAAAAACGTTTAATTCGTATTCTGGTAAATCGTCGCAACAGTAATGACAATAAAAGGTAAGTTAAATATTTTACAATTTTACAATGTTATTTTGATATAGTATTTTAATTTATAAATTATAGTAGGTACCTACTATTTATTTTAAATAAAGTTTCAAAACGAAAACATTTTTTTGTTATTTGTAAAGAGACAACTAGCAGTTTATTTAAATTTATATTAATATTATTGCGGTGTTGCTACAGTGATGTTTGTATTAGTTTACCACAAATAGCGGGTTGTGTAGAATTTACAGCAGAGACACCAAAATTGAAATTGCAAGTACAAAACCAATTTGATGAACCTGAATTAGCTGTTAAACTTATGGCTACTGAAAGAAATTCACCTTTCGAGTAATACTTATATTAAATCATATTATAGTTTTTTATGTATTTTAAATGAATTGTAGGTTAGACAATATTTTCATTATGTATAGGTGTGCTAAAATTCAGGACGAATTTATTGACTCTCACGAACTGCAGACTGTCAGTTCAGTCTCAGAGGTAGAAAAAAGCCTCATGTAAGAATTTTGTTACCATCCGTAATGTTTTATGAATTCAAATTTAAATAAATTACCTATATATTTATCTAGTGAAAGAGCAGGTGAAATAAATTGATGTAGGATTGTAGACATCGGATATGTTTTTAGTCAAATACTTGATTGTACTCACGAAGGAATGTTTGGATGTAATTTTATGAACATTGAATATATATCGGAATTTAGGAGAGGTTACTATTCACAATTTTTATTCAAATGTAAAATGTGCAATATTCAAAAAAAAATATTTTCTTCAAAATTTGATGAAAATCTTCAAAATCAATGGTCAATAAATAAAGCTATTGTAAATAGCACTATAGCAATTGGTAATTAAAATATTGATTTAAATGTAGGTAATGCTTTGTCATTTTATTTTAACTAAATATAGTAATTTACTGTAGGAATTTGCTATACCCAACTAGCCGAATTTTCTGCTGGTTTAGAAATACCATACATGTCTGCAAAAATGTACCATTCATTTCAGTCAGGTCTCCAAGATGAAATAAAAGGCACGGCTTGGTCAGAAATGAAAGCGGCAGGAGATGAAGAAAGAAAATATGCTATAGAATCTGGTTCTGTTGATAATAATGGTATACCACTTATTACTGTTGTTGCGGACGCTCAGTGGTCCAAGAGGAGTTATAAAACAAAATACGACGCTTTTTCTGGAGTAGTAAGTGTTTTAAACAATTTAAAAACGTACAAATTTAAATAACTATTAATTAAATGAATAGAAAAATCTATAACTAATCTTAACTCATTTTTACGTGACTTTAGGCGAGTATTATTGGATACAAAACAAAAAAAATACTTTTTGTCGGAATCAGAAACCGATATTGCCTAATTTGTGAACGTGCTTCTAATAAAAATATTGAAAAACCGATACACACATGCTTCCTGAATTGGAGACACGGTGCTACGAGTATTGAAGCGGACGGAGTAGCCGAAGGTTTTACCAAGAGTTTCGAAATGCATGGCGTTAAATATTCAAAATTAATTGGTAAGATATAATTACGATTATTATATAAAAAAAAAATGTATGTAATGAACTTTTTATGCTTATAAACAAAATTTGACAGATTTCAAATCTTAAATAATATCTATTATAAATTCTTCAAATTTTATGAATTTTTAACAACAAAATAACTTTAAATTTTCGCGATTTCATCATATTTTGTAAAAAATTGAAGAAATAAAAAAAAATTTTGACCTACGATTTTTTTAATGGTGATAAGTACAACGTATGAAATTCTTCTATTCGTCACTCCGTTTAGAATATTAAAACTTTAAAAAAAAAAAATGTTTTAGGTGACGGTGACAGTAGTGTCACAAAAAGGTTAAATGAAATACTACCATATGGTCCGAGTCTAAGAGTCGAAAAAATTGAATGCAGAAATCATTTGCTTAGGAACTATTCCCAAAAAATGTCTGCACTCTCTAAACGAACAGAATTTCCTATTGCGATAAGAAAAAAAATTGCTGATAACCTCGTTAGGCTTAGAACTGATGTAACAAAAGCTATACAGTACAGAAAATCTGAGGAAAAACCACTACAACAGAAAATTTTAAGTAAGTACCTAATTTATGTTATTTTTTATTACATTTTATTTATTTACTTGGGGCTTTTTAGATATTAAAAACGACATAACAAACGCACCAAACCATCGACTTTTTAATTGCCATAAAAAATGTGCTCCTTATTTTTGCGAAAAATCTGCAGATAAATCAGTTGATAACTGCAAGTCTTATGAACATGATGGTATAGTCAAAGAAATTAATATAATTGTTTCTCGTTTGGCTAATAATGCAAAGATCCTTATATTGGACGTAGACAACAACATCTGCGAACAATTCAATAGTGTTTTTAATATATTTCTTGGTGGCAAAAGAATAAATTATACTCAAAGGAGTTCTTATAATACAAGGATATTAGCAGCCGTGGTTAGTTTTAATTCTAGCGAGTATTTAAGAGCTGTAAAAAAACATATCACTCAAACAAGTCCTGGTGAGATAATATTTTTTTTTTTAAATCAATATTATATTATTATTACATAAAAATGTAAATTAACCTATTAATTAATTTTTTTGTTAGGAAAAACTGCTAAATCATTTTTGACTCAAATAATAAAAAAACGTTCTGCTTGCCAAAAACGAAGACAACTTTTGACCAAACTCAAATATAAAGTAAAGCGACCAAAAGCTAGTTCCAAACCAGACGAACACTATGGTAACGCAGACATATTAGACGGTATGTAATGAATAACTGTCGTATTGTCGTATACCTAAAAGGCAGCCACCCCTAATATATTTAAAATAAAATGTATATAATAATATATATATATATTTAAAAATAATATTTTTAATTTATTAATTTTTTATGTTATTATAGGTATAAGAGAAGTCGATGATCCATTATTTGTAAAAGATATGGAACAGTTTCTAAAGTAGGTACTATAAGCACCTATTACATACAAATAATGATAAAAATACTGAATACCTAGCTATTAGTCGTTTTATTCAATAATTTCGTTTCTAAAGGACTTTATATAACGTCAATCGCAGCACAGTAGAAGAAACTACAAGGGACCAAGCTGAAAGTGAAAACTGGAGGGCAGAAAGGATGATCCGACTCACCGCTAGTAATTTTGGTCGTGTATGCAAAATGCGTCGCAATACTAGTTGCAAAAATATGGTGCATTCTATCTTATATCTAACATTCACTAGCAAGTTAGTTTAATACACTTAGTTTACACTTAAAATACTGCACTATAACTAAAATGTGCATTATTAATATTAAGAATATTTTTATTTCTATTTTTTTTTTTTTATTTAATAGATTCTATACTCTTTTTATTTTATAGGTCTGTCCAGTGTGGTAGGGATATGGAAGACGAGGCAAAAACAAAATTTGAAGAAAAGTTCGGTTACAAAATAAAAAAATGTGGTCTTTTGATTGATACGCAAATTCCGTATTTGGCTGCTAGTCCAGGTTTAACATGATTTGATTTACCTACTATTTTCTCTAGTATATAATAAAATAACAAATTAATTAATATTACGATATTTTTTTTCAAAATTATTTTAGATGGCATTATTGGCGATACTGCTATCGTTGAAATTAAATGTCCTTATGCTGCAAAAGACACGGAAAATGAGATAGAGGCTGTATCCACTGGCAAAGTTTGTTTCCTACTAAAAAATACCTTTCCTTATTTTTTTTTTTAAAACATAATATTTATTATGATATTAACACAGCTGAAGTATTGTTCCATCAAAGAAAACGAATTGGTATTAAGTAAAAATCATATTTACTACTACCAAATTCAAGGACAACTGCATATTTCCCAAAAGGAACAATGTTTTTTTATTATATACACGGCTAATTGGATGTCGGTCCAGATAATAAAATATGTTGATGACTTTTGGAGTACACATATGGTCAATAAATTAAAAACGTAAACATTGTTAGAATTAATATTGTTTTAACTTTTGTTAAATCCAATATTTAGTTTTTAATAAAATATAGTAGGTATATCAATATTAAATTTTATACTTATAGGTTTTATCTAAACTGTTTGCTGCCAGAAATCGTCGATCCTGTTTATAAATATAGATTAATGAAATCAGACATAAGAGAGTCAAAAATAATTTTACAACAAATGAAAATCTCAAAACAGCTATTTTAAAATAAAATTAGATTTATTATATTATTATCACTAGACACTAATCATATTATTAAAAAAAATTATTTTAGTCGTTTTAATTTGTATACGCTAGTTTTAGTCTTTTGAAATATTGTAAGTACCTACCAGTGTGTATGTATTATTATTAATTAATATCATATTAAAAATCCACGTTTAAAAAAGGAACATAAAATAATTTGAATTTAAAAGATGAAACACGTCAAATTAATATTAATTTGATTGCGCTGTATTTATTTAGGTACTATTAAATTATATTTTAGTATAGGTATGATATTTGAATGAGTAATAATGCTACAAGTATAAATCAAGCTATGTTATAATACAGTTTCTACTACCTATATATTGGGACGTAAATTTAGGTAAGCAGTATCTTAAATTATAATCGGTAGATCAAAGGTACGCGCGGTTATTGAAAATATTACGGCGGCATTTGCGTATATGAATTTTATAATGATACGAATATTACTAGACGCAAGTTCATTGACAAATGAACGGCGCTTCCGAACGAGAACTCGTCGCCGTCGTCGGCCGGTTGCCGAATGCGAATAGTAGGCGTGACTTAAACGCCGCGCGCTTGCGGATCGCGAAAACACCTAACAGCGCATCCTCTCGGTCGTTGCATGCGTACACGTTTCGGTGCGACGTCCTCTTAAATATACGGGATAGAACCCTTTAACACAATTACACATTACATTCATAGACATTAATACAATTATATAACTTAAGATAAGAAGTATACAGTTAAACAAAACTGCTATAAAGTAAGTAGACACGAAGAGTCAACATTGGCATTACTCATCATACGCGAAATCGGTTCATTTTTTAGATAGTTTGTGGAGGCGAAAGGGACATTAAAATAAGCAATAGATCGGGAAGGACGTGGAGGAACACGAAAACAATTTAAGGAAAGCAATTCAGGAGAGTCGATAATTCCATCTAATAAATTTTTTTTAAATTTGATGTCCGCTAACCGCCTACGCTCAGCCAAGGAAACCAGTCTTAGCTGAATAGCAACTGGTTCGTAGTTATGAGGTTCACAGGGTTTATTCAAACGAAATCCAGCATACTTAATGCATTTTCGTTGAACCCTTTCTAGCCTGACAGAGTTATTTTTGTCGTGAGGATTCCAAATAACGTCACCGTATTCTAAAATAGGGCATACAAGAGTACAATAAAGTACCTTAAAGGATAAGCCTAACCGAAAGTCTCTACATAGTCTCAATACGAATCCCAAAGTTTTACAAGCCTTGCAACAGATATGTTCAATGTGGGGACTCGGATCGAGATTACTAGTAAGAATAAACCCAAGATCAGTAACACTGCCATTAGAGCATGCGATAGCAGTTGCCCCAAGATGATATGCATATTTGGCAGGGGCCGAATTCTAGTATAAGTCATGGTCTTACACTTAGAAACATTAAAGGATAATCCTAGAGTATTGAACCATTTAGTGAACCGATCAAAATCAATCTGTAACAGCATACAGTCATCTAAGGAGGATACACAAGAGTAGAGTTTAATATCATCTGCAAAACACAAAATACGACTATTGGATAGAGCACTTGACACACTATTGATAAATAAAGAGAAAAGGAACGGAGATAGGTGTCCACCTTGTGGAACACCAGATGTTGCTAGATAAACGTTAGACCTCACTCCAAACAGATTCCCGGGTCATTAAGAAGTACGTACGAGTTGATTCCCTGGTCATTATATATTTTATTTAATATTTAGTAAAATATTCAGTCTATTAGCATAACCCAAGAAACACCACTAGGAGGTTGGCTGACAAGTTTCTCAAAAATGTTGTTTTTTTAGTTTTTTCATATTTTGAAAATCATTCAATTTTTATTTATTAATTATTTATTGAATTATATTATTATTAAAAACATTTAGTAGTAACTAGGTAAAAAAATATTAAAAAATTTAGTAATTTGGTCAAAATTTGTAACACATTGTTTTTATAAATTGGTATCTGGTAATGAGATTACTAGTATACCGTGACATCTCTTCCCTCAAATTTTTTTTTTTGTGAATTCGCGCGTGGTCTCGGTGGATATAAGAGCGAGTTGTGTGTGACGGTCAAACTCTTTATACTGTCATAAACTCTTTACTCTTGCAATCTATTGATAATTGATATACAACAATAGGGAATCAACTCGTACGTACCCTCTAATGACCCGGGAATCAACTCAACGTTGTCGGTGCAGGTAAACAGGTACCCGGGAATCAACTCGTACGCAGCCTGATTTAAAGTGTCTGTCTTTTTTGTTTGAACTTAGGAAAGATATTTCTAGTAGATTTGCATCATTTATAGTTTTACTTCAATTTCGAAGTATTTATCAGACGGTTAGTTGATTCTTCGGTTGATTGCGAACTTGAATCATTGTCTGTTTTTTGGATTTTCGATGGGCCAGCATTTAGAACTTGTAAAAACCGTTTCATAATTAAAATAAACAAATAAACGAAATAAAAATAACAAGAAAATCATAGTTCTTCAACAATTTTTCACCGACGAAGAATCAAGATAGTAAGTCACCGAGTTTGTTGTTAAGTGATAACTGAGAACTGTGAGTTCTGAATACTGGGAATAATAAACTACCACTAATGACAAATGAGTAATGATCACTATGTAGATATTATAAATATAAAATATATAAGTATATAATATATATAAATATATTATGATTGTGTGCCCATAATTGTTGTTTTATTTTCGTCGGCTCAACACAATGAATACCTATTGATAATTATTATTTGTTTAAATTGTATACACAATTCTATGAAATGAGTATCAGCTAATGACATGAACTAAGATATACAGGACTGGACACAGAGCCTTATCAGCCGGTCAGTCAATGTTACGCATTACTCCTTTAAGTGGAATCTACGCTATCTGGTGACGAATTAATTTGTTAATGTTATTACTTAGTAATACTAAGTAACGAGTAACGACGCACATCATTAACATCTAGTGCATAGTATAAAGAATAATATTATTCCTTAATATACTATGTATTTTTGATATAGTGTTATAGATGTTCTAACTTTTAAATTTTAATCATTTGTTAAATGGTTATAAAATATATAAACTGCAAATAAAAAAAGGTGCGAAAATTATTTAAAATATTTATCATACTATATATTTAAACTAAAAATAGGTAAAACTATATGTTTGTAATTTTTCACAAAATCATCATAGGAATTAAACAAGCCAGATATTGGAGACCAATAAAAAAAGTAAAAA